TGTTATTAAAGCTGATGACACACCAAACAAAGCAAAGCTACACCAAAGTGTAGCTATAAAACTTTTATGAGAAGCCATGATACAATACAGGATCTGTGTGGCTCATTTATAACCTGAGGAATTAGGCTGATGATAGATGTCTGTTTTACCCAACATTATTTGTGTATAAAGCACTTGTACTGAGTTACACCGGTATATAATCAGAACAAACTGTAGAGAAGGAGTGAATGAAATGCTGCACAAATGACAAAGGCAAGGACGGAGAGGTCAGATGAGTTACAGCCACACAATGTCTGAGTCAAAAGATCCCTTTTCTACAGGCAATAGCACCGAACACATCCACCAGCCCATGTTCACTACTGACCATCACTGACTTCGTACAAAGTTAAAAGAACTTCAGAGGATGCTTTTACATGGATAATTTTGCCTAAGAGAGATGGATTTCACTGTCATTTGTCACTGGCTCCCAGGGGTCAGGGACAGCAGTTTTGCTTGCTTGCTTCAAGGCAACAGGCCAGCAGTGGGTGTTTGAGGCTCATCTCACTAACTTCAAAATGAACAACCTGCATACAGCGTGTTTAAGTAAAAGTCAGAACCCATCTTCCTTATAATGATGGGGGAACAGGTTATTTGGGATAGGCAGAGCTATTCCAGGCAGCCTGTAGCTTCTCATTTTACCAAACAAAAAATAACTGTCAAAAAGGTAAAACTTTGTATTTGTTGTTCTCTTCTTTCTCTATAATGTACCCCAAGCAGCTGAGCACCATGTTACTCGTGGGACCTGAAACACAGTCTTACACAATTCTCATCAAGAGGCCCTTCCTCCCCTCAGCAGGACAGCACACCTACAGCAAACAAAATCATTCTGGCCCATCACCTTTCATTCCCCCAACCCACGCTTGCTGCCAGGCACTATGGCACAGGACACCGTCGTCTTTAGCAAAATAAAAATTATCTGTGTAGTTTGTCAACCTGCAGGCTTCTACACTGCCTTTATGGATTAAAGATCTGTGCTCCTCTTAATATATACAGATATTCCTTTTCATAGTAACAAACACTGACATCACATATTTAATGTTCCTACTACTGATGAAAAATCTTCAACATGTCGACCATGTTAATAGCAGTACACAGTGTTCTACAAATGCTCCTATACTGCCTTGACATAATCAGCCACCGCAGAATAAAGGCACAACCATAACTCATTTAACAGCCTCCCAGTGACACACCAGGTATCCTCAGGCTTAGAGTTCGTCTTAGAACGTTAATCTCATAACAAACAACTTTAAGGTGGATAAATGATTGTACAATGAAACAGCGAACGAAAGTCAGCGCTTCTCAACAGCTACCCAAGGGCTTCCTTTCCATTTTAGCCACTGCAATCTGTAGATGAAGAGTGCAGCCTTTGAAGATCCCCATTTGGGAAATGTTACCACAGTTTCGGTAATAACGCACTTTACAAAGAAAAGCTTCAGTCTGAAGGGTTCTGAAGATTCCACAGTACAGTATGGCACCCACTCAGTATTTCTCCCAGCCTCTGCTCACCATGGCCTGAAGCAGGCATGATCTCACCTGTCATGGAGAGCTGCTGCAATACTTACTGGGCTTTCACTTTGTTTTGTAGAAAAACGGACTAAAAAAACCCCAACCTTGCAGCTCAGGGACAGCAGTGCTGCACAAAAGTCACTCATCTCACGGATGAAGTGAAAAGATGAAATCTGGCTGCAAAATGGAGAAGCACACACCCAATCCTTCTCAAGTAATCCCAGCTAAATCTTTTCTTTGAACGCTGCATGCTGAAGAAGAAAATAAGGTCACAACTGGAGATGTCAAATAAATTGCTTCCTGTATCTGAAGAAGTTCTTCACTATCACTGACTTCCTAGAGGTGACTAAAAGCCCTCTCTTCTAAGGCCACCTTGCTGCAATCAGCTCGTGCAGACACAGCACACAACAGAAGCAGCTAGGGACCCAGTCCCTAGACCCAGAGTTAAGAAAGCAGATTAAAATCCCTTCTAGAAATATCCCTGTGCACCTCTCTCCTCCTTTGCTTCTTCCATCATTCTCTCATCTCCGTATCACGTGCAACAAGTGCACAACTTCAGCGTTTGGTCACCCTCAACAACAGCTAGAAACCCTGCCGTGTTTCCAACACTCGTTGTGTTTCCCCTAAAGCCAAAAGAGAGCACCAGATGCCAAGAAGGAAAACTCAACTCTGTCCCAGTGGAAACGGTGACACAGTTTAATTTTACTGGGGGGGACGTGGGGATGGGCTGAAGGGCCCTGAGAAGGACTCCCAGACCCCAAAGCCGCAGCTGGGGCAAACGCACACAGTGGCGTCCAGGGCTCCTTCCACACCAAAACTGCCAGGAACAGCCCCAGGCTGCGGGGCAAGAGGAGGGGTTCTGGGTGGAGCCGGGCAGAATGGGGTGGTATCACTGCCACTTCACAATGAGCCTCGTCCCCCTGAAGGCAGAGCTGGAGCAGCAGGCGCATTTGCCGCTGTTCCCTCTTGAGCTTCAAGATGGAGCAGAGACCCCCGAGCCAATCCCAAGAGGCATGGCCAGAGATACCGAGGGCACCCCGCAACCCCACGGCCCAGCAGGGGCCCTACGAGGTGTGCGAGGTGCAGCCCCTGCAGGGGCCATCGGGCTCAGCTGAGGATCCTGCCTCCGTCGTGTCACCGCAGGAGGAGGATCCCCTGAGCTGCATCCGCGCCGGCTGCACGCGCAGACCCCAGGTAGCGGGCACTCTGTGCTTCCCTGGCGGCCCCTGCCCGGCCGTGCCCTGAGGGTGCCGGGGTCCCCTGATGCCGGCACCTCTAATTCCCCTCCCTGTCCCAGGAATACGCACAGAAGCTGAGCTGCCTGGCCTGCGTCTGCACCACCTGCACAGCCGCCCGCAAGGACAGCCAAGCTCAGCATCACCTGTGTGCCTGCGCGTCGGAGGTGGCGCAGTGCATTGAGGTAAGGGGAGCGCCGCAGGGCCGGGCGGTGGGCACAGCGCTGCCCACTGCGGGGTCGCTGGGGAGCCCCGGAGCCAGGACGGGGGGCCCGGGCTCCACACACCAGGCAGGGCCTGCTGCACCGTCCCATCCCTTCCCATCCTGCTGTGCCCTCAGGAGATGATGCAGGAGGAGCCCGCTGTGTGTCCGGACGTGGAGCTGCGGCAGGAGGCCATCAGCGCCATCGCCGCCATGAGGTACCGCCCCAGCCCAGCTTTGGCCAACGTGGTGGCACTGGTCCCGGCCAGGGGCCGTGAGCAGAGCATCACGCCTCTGCCCTCTCTCCCCTTGCAGCAAAGCGCAGCTGCTTCCAGAGGAAGAGAACAAGAGTCTCCTGCGCACCTGCATCAGCAGCGTCCTCCACCTGCCAGGCCGTGAGGATGACACAGACTGGGAGGTGCGCACGGCCTGAGCCCCGGGAACGCTTCCTGGGCACCAACCGCCCGGGATGCCGCTCTGCTGCCAGCAGGACGCAGCAGGGATGGCCGCCCTGACCCCTGTCCTCCTTGCAGATCATGGAAGCCCTGCACCGCCTGCTGGAGGGGCTGTTGGGCAGCACCGGTTCCACTGTCCTCAATGAGCTGCAGAACATCTTGGAGGTCTGGCTGTGTGGCAAGGCTGGGATTTGCGGGGATGGTTTCAGGCCGTGAAGGGGGATCCACGTGAGGTCCCCCCACAACCTGCTGCGGGCAGGGGGTGCTGGCCCGAGGCCGGCCCTTGTGGGGTCAGAGGGATGGGTGGGGAGCAGCGGGAAGGCGGCAGGGCCGCAGCAGGACAGGGACGCAAACACCCAGCCCCACTGCAGCTGGGGAGCGAGCGGAAGGACGAGCACCCCGTGCCGGGGGCCAACCGGCTGCTTTTCTCTCCACAGCTCCTGCTGCCCTTCACTATGAGCCAGCAGGCCACCGTGGAGGAGAGGGCCGTGGCGTGCATTGGCAGGCTGCTCGCCTTCACCAACTCCTGCTCCTTGCCCAAGGTAGGAGCCCTGGTGCGCACAGCTCCAGGGACTGCGTCCTGGCTCCCCAGCTGGAGCCCACCTGTCTCGCCTGCCTCCAGGCTTGCGCACAGCCTGGGCTGGGCCCCGCTGCCCCGCTCAGCCGTGCGCCCCCGCTGCCTCTCTCCCCAGCTGTGCTCCTGCTTCACCGTCTTGCAGCACAAGTGCCAGAAGAACCAACGTTTCCCTATGCTAGGGAAGCTGGCCGGGCACCTCATCCTCTCCTGCACCTCCATGGATGAGAGGACGAGAGACGAGGCGATGAAGGCTGTCCATCAGCTTTTCACCCTCATCACCACACCAAGTGAGAGGAGTTGCATTGGGCTAGGTCCCTCCGACCTCCAGGTGCCCAGGCCCCTCACTCACATTGTGTGCGCTCCCCTCCAGGATGGTCGCTGAAGCAGCAGAGGCCCAAGGTGCCAAAGCTCTGGGAGAGCCAGCTAGCTTTGCTCCACCAGGAGGCTTCCCATGACAGCAGAGCCATTACGATCTTTCAGGTACAAAGAGCAAACCCTGAGCCCACAGGAGAACCCAGGCCTGCAGTGTCAGAAAGAGTGCAGGCGCTTTCCTCGAGCAGCCCTGGTGCCCGTACAGCCCTCACACTCCCTATCCTTGGTGTCTCCCAGCCCAGCCCCTGCTCCCAGCTCTCCTGAGGCACTGACACGGCCCAGCAGCCACACAGGGGAAGAGTCATCCCTTCTCTCCTTCTTCCCACAGGTCCTTCTGAAATACCTGGCGTACCCTGAAAGGGTCAACGTATTACTTTGCACCATCGAGAGCATGACAGCGCCGAGCCTCCACAGCACCGAGCTGGCTGCCCACATGGTGGATGTGCTCGCTGCAAAGACTTGCTTTCCTCCACGGCAGGTGGGAACCTGCTGCTGCCACAGCTCCAGCCCTCGGGGCTCTGCCCCATCCCTGGCACTGGCACCGTGCTGTGCCCACTGGCAGCAGAGCCCTGCTCCAGTGCCGTCCCATTCTCATGTGTGTCCCCCTTCAGGTGCGGAAGATCATGAAGACCATCTACAACAGCCTGCCGTCCATCACAGACAGGGCAGCTCGCAAGAGCCTGGGCAGGGCCCTGCTCGTGCTGGCCAGCAAATTCCCCAAGCATACGGTCAGCAGCCTGCTGGTCTGCTCCCCCACCTGCACCAGGTAGGGGGCCCACGGCCCTCAGGGCTCCTCTCCCCTCCCCTCCCCTCCCCGCCCTTTCCCTCCCTTCCCCTCCACTCGCCACCATATGGCTGTCAGCCAGGCGAGAGCAGCCACGCTGACAGCCCTGGGGACCTGCAGGGCCGCTGTCACCATGTGGAAGGAAATGCTCTCAAAGCCCCCGGCCATGGAGAAGGTGCTGCAGGAGCTGTTCCAAGTGCTGATAAACCATTCTGAGCACCACACGTCACCATTCATCAAGGACAGGCCACGTGTCCTTGCCCTGGCCGTGAGTTCCTCGCTCACCCAGCTGAGCCTGAGTCCCCGTTCCTCTCCCCTATCCGCCCCCTTCCTGCCCTGGCATCCCTCCATAGACCGGCCGGGGGCTCTGGGGGTCCCCCTTGCCTACACGTGTAGGGATGGCACAGAAAGGAAACCTGGGGGACGGGGCAAGAACCGTATCTGGGTGGTTTCTGCAGGCTGCAAGGACCCTACTGGAGATACTCCAACTGCCTCTGGTCCTGAAGGAGGCCCGGGCCTTCTTCCCAAAGCTCTTCCTGGCCCTCCTCCTGCAAGTGTCCTTCACCACCAAGCTGACACAGCAGGAGATCTGGGAGGCGCACCAGCAGAACCCGGTCACTCCCATCAGGTGCTGCATCCCCCCGCCTCCCACTGCACCAGGACCCGGTGCTGGGGCTCCCGATGCGACTCGCACCCTTCTCCACCTGCAGGTCCACGGTGCAGGCCATGAAGGTGCTGCTCTGCAGCGAGGGCCTCCAGAGGCAGATGGAGGCCATCCAGGAGCAGGGGGGCTGGGACGCGCTTCTCAGCTCTGCCACCCACCTCCAGGGCGTGCAGGTGGTGGCCAGGTGAGAACTCCTTCCCCGGCCTGCCAGGGGGTCCCAGTGCTCGGACAAAGTGCTGCCACAGCACCACAGCCTGTGGCCCCTGCGGCACTGGCAAGAGGGCTGCACAGCCACAGCTGCGTCCCCCCGGCTCGGGGCTCATGGTGCCTTCTTATCCCTGCCAGGGCTGTGAGGGAGCTGCCCGGTGCTCTGCGTGACGCCATCTGCCACCAGCTGGTTGAGCTGCTCAGCACCAGCTTCTACTCCTGGGAGATGGTGGCCATGGTCTTCCTCATTGAGGTGAGCAACAGCTGCAGGAGAGCCAACTTGAGGCTGTTTGGCTGTGCCCTGCTGCCTTTCCCCAAGCGGAGTGTTAGATCCAGCACTAAGAGCCACCTGTGTTGCAGGTGCTGGAGTGCATGGACCTCACCACAGAGCTGCACGGCATCCTCAAAGTCTTCACCATGTATCTGCAGAGCCAGAGCATGAGCATGCGGCAGCTGGTGCTCAGGGGCATCCTGCAGCTCAGCAGGAGGCAGGACACGGTGAGCAGGGGGGCCTCAAAGCCCATCCCATCACTGCCTGCTAGCCTCGGGGCTGGCACTGGAGTGCTTTTGACCCCACTGTGCTTCCAGCTGTACCTAAAGGAAGGGGTGCTTTTCCCGCAGGCAAGGCCAATGATCATCTTCATGCAATGCATCATGGAGCAGCTGCAGGATGCAGACAGCGACAGCCGTGCCATAGCCCTGCCGATACTCAGCACCCTGTTGCAGCTCCCGGATGTGGCCAAGACCAGCTTCATGGCTCTGGAGCTGGCCAGCAAGCTCCCAGCGCTCTTTAATGATGTAAGGATGCTAGGGAGTCCAGCACACTAGGGATGTGTGCCCATGCCTGCTGCCCCTGCCCCCCCGTGTCACAGCACACCAGGGGACTTCCTGGCTGGTCTGCAGTTCCAGGCGCTGCGTGCCCCTGGGTGGACCTTCTGCAGGGCAGAGCTTGCACGCTCTGGAGCAGTTCTGGGGCCATCGTCAACATCTGCCCGCCGCCTCTCAGCTCAGAGATTCTGCCCCCACTTCATTGGTGGCAATGGCCCTGCTTGCCATGGACGTGGAGCTGCTGACACTGACATCCGTCTGTCCTTCCTTCCTTCCTCCTCTGCAGGAGTCCACCACTGTGCGGCAGCTCTCCATGGACCTCTTCCTGGAAACGCTGAACTTTGTGGAGGACCGAGAGAGGAGGAAGATGCAGAAGGAGGTGCGCAGGAACCTGGTCCTGCTGTATCTCCACCTGCACGACGAGGAAGAGAGCGTGGCCAAGGTGGGGATTGCGTTCATTTGGGGGAGGGCGATGCTGCTCCCGCGGTGCCCCCCAAACTCCACGAGCACTGCAGCCCACGGCAGCATCAGCCCCCGCTGCTGCATCCTCCCTGTGGAGGAGCTGCGGGGGACGCGGGCTGTGCTGCTGCTCGGGCTGCGGTGCCATCTCAGCTGCTTGGCAGGCCTCCCAGAAAGCCCTCCTCGGTGCCGCACGATTCCTGCGCTGGAGGCGGCTGGAGCACCTGGTGCAGACGGCGCAGTTCTGGCAGATCGCCGAGTGCCTGGTACGCACGTTCCCACACCCCAGGACAGGGTTGCGACCACCCTGCGCTGACCCCGCGCTCTTCCCTCTCCAGCTGGACAAGAAGGGGATGAAAGCAGCAGCGCAGGACTATGTGAGCCAGAGCCTGCTGTACCTACAGAGCCCGCAGGAGCCCCTGCAACGGGAGGCCGTGCGGTTCATCGGTGAGCCACGAGACTGAGCTTCCCCTGTCCCCGGCCCTCCAGCTGCACCCGCGGAGCAGCCGGGGTCGCTGACAGGGCCGTGTGTTCCTAGGGCTCTTAGTGCAGCACATGACGGATCAGCAGCAGGTCGAGAGAGAGCGCCTCTACGAAGGTGAGCCAGGCAGTGGGATGCCGGGGCAGCTGGCAGGTGACGTGCCTGTCCCCTGCTCCCTCCCGCCGGAGGGAAGAGCTGGGCGCCCTGCGGGTACATGGCTGCCATTGAGCCGCTCTGTCTCTCAGGCCTTCGGAGAGCACAGCGAGACCCCACTCCATCCGTCTCCTCGCTGGCCCTTCAGATACTCAAGATCCTGCAGGAAAGGAGGCCACGTCCACCACGAGGAGACTTGAGGCAGCTCTTCTCCAGGCTCCGCAGCGCGTGGAGGAGGTGGCGCTCCTCCCGGGCAGACAGCTGAGCGCCCTGCAAAGCTCGCGGCATCTCCTCCTGCCCGCTGCTCAGCTCTGCTCCTCGGCCACATCCTTCCCCGCTGCTGTGCCGCTCCTCACCCTGCGCTGCCACCTCCTTCAGCGCCAGTGCCTGTCTTCTCTCTGCGGGAAATGGAAAAACACCCAGGAGATCAGCATTGCCCTGAGAGGAACGGCACGTGCAGCGCTCCCTGCCGCTGCCACATGCTTTCGGCCACTGCCAGCAAGCACCAGCTGCTTTTCTTTCCATCGTGTGTCAAATGGACCAACCCATATCTGCTCATCAGTTCACCCCTCCATCGCAAGCAGTGGATTCCACAGCCCTAACAATTGCCTGTTTTTCTGAACATCCTCTCTGTTTTTTGCAGAAAGCCAACTGAGCATCACAAGAAGCCTCTGCAAGGCAGAAAGGAACTGATGAGCTGCAGAAGCAGGCATGAAGGACGGGAAAAACGTCTGGGAATGAGAAATGCTGTGGACCATATGGACAACAAATATATGCCTGATACACTACTGCCAATTTTCCATGGGGCTTCCAATAACATTCATCGCTTAAACTTCTTCAAAAAGTCATCTATCACGGGACACAAAGACACGAGTCCAACTGGTGAAATGCTCAAGTAAGAACAATACTAAATAAAACCAACATCTACACCACAAAGCCTCCAGTGTGGTCCCTGCTGCTCTAGCAGCAATCACATAGAGATCACAGCTCAGATTCCTGCTGCAGGCTGAACTGCTCACAAGGTGCATGAATCACCCGGACAAGGGGACGAGCATCCAGACAACAAAGTCTGCTCCCGTTACTAAAGCAACTGTTGTCCTAAAAGCATCATTTTATTGCAGAGAACTGCAGAGGAAACCTGCCGTACGAAGCAAGGATTCCCATTACATTACTGTCCATCTTTGAGGTCTGAAAGACAGACGTGGGAGCTCTTCAACCTTACTACAAATGAATGCCACCATTTAAACCGCACTGTCAATACTGCGATATCCCTTCTAAATAACAACTGCAGAACTGTTTGATCTCTAACTTAGATTTAGATATACAGACAGCACTTGGGATAAAACACTTTTTAAATTCAAGTCAAGTCCAGTTCAGAAGCACAGTTTCATCACTTCAGCACAAGCGGTACCATGCGATAAAACCATCCTGTTATTGAGCCCTGCCTGGTTGCATCACCGAGTGCTTCTCCCCTGCTGGAGCGTGGTGCTGTGGGCACACACGAGGCCACCCTGCACTGACAAGCCCTACAGCCGGAGCTGCAGCTGGACTCACCAGGAGGAGGATGTCTGTGAGCAAGGGCTCGCTGAGAAGAGCAGGAGCTCTGATCTGAGCTCCCCGCAACTTCCGAGCACGCAGATTGCAAACTAACCCTGTCCTCTCTATTCCGTTTCCTGAAGGGCATTCAGTGCTGCGAAAGAAAGGCACTTACACAACCACACACGCTCCCCCTGTCATTGATGGCACAGAGCCTCCTGTAAGCACGTCTGAAGAAATGCACCTTTTACACTGCCTAACAAACGGCACCCACTGCAACGAGACTACCCCTACTCTGTACGACCCAACAGAGACAGACACAGCTCTCTTTTACCGTCAGTCCTCCTGTCCACACCAGGAGCTGCCCCACGCAACACTTGCAGGGCAGCCCGTTCCCACCCCACGTATGACAGCAGCATGACTGCATCCTCGAGTCCTCTCTGGATTCCGTTGCGTACAGAGCTCCGGGCACAGCTGAGACTAGCAGAGCACAGAGCAGAAAACAAGAACGTGATTTTACAGAGCACTTCTCAAACACCGGCCTACCTCTGTGTGCCAGATCTACTTCTTGTTCTTGGAATGGACAGCAACACACCATCCCCCACGGCCCACAGGAGCCAGGGCTCAGCTGGCACGTCACGGAAAGGGCGCGCTGTCACATTCACAGCATTTGGGACCTTGAGCTCTAGGCACTACGTTGGTCATCTCCACGCTGGCAGAGCTCTCCCGTGCAGACCGACACCCAAAATGCAGAGAGAAATGGCAATCAGAGTTAACACCAGGCCAGCCTCACGGCGTCACAAGCTTTGCAACCGCTCCTCAGCAACGCGATCCAGCTCATGAGAGTTGGAGTTTGCTTCCTCTAAACCTGAACATGAACCTCCCCAGACAACAGCAGTTCCACATTATTTTCCAAACACCTTGTTTTCCTTTCTCGCAACAGAGAAGTGAATAAACCTGCGTATTTGTAAGCAGGACTTCAAAGGCCGTCAGAGCAACACCTGAAGATAAACATCTACTTCTGGAAGCATCTCCGTTTCACACAAAGCATCTCTTCTCCTCTTTCCCCTCATCTTTCCCTACCCTCTTGAAACGAATACACATCCAGTGGATAAAGCAGTTGAATTCATTAACATTTAAGTGTGTTCTTGCAGACAGCTACCCGTTATATAGAATAAACAAGCACAAGTATTCCAACTACAAATGGCTGAAAGTCTGAGAAAGTCCTTTTTCACATGGAGAACAGTGCAAGCAAACTCAAATGCAGCAAAGTTCTCCATTTAAGTAAAAACTCCTCACCTGCTATGGCCAATCACAGCTTGCTTTCCTTCTTGTTCTCTCAACAGGAGCATTCTGCATGCAGGTCAATTCTCTTTTTAAAGATAATACCAGGCTACAAAGTTATGGAAACGCACGTGGAAGCTGAATAGATCATCTTGTAGCACACAATTAGTGGTGTCAATGTTTGCAGGCACCAAAAAAGTACAAAATGCATCGAACCACCAAAACCTTCCACTTTGCTATCACCACTCCTCCTCTTTGCCATTTCCATCTCAGAGCTTGGACTGGTTTGGACTTTTCTGTCAGACGAGGGAACCAGGGGTTATGTTTACAACTGAATGCACAGAGGTTGATAGCATCACCATCCGTGCTCTGAAAGAGGTTCCAAAATCCAATTTCTGATCAGCTCTTCCATTCTCCAAAGAGATACAAAGTCAGGAGTTAAGAAGCAGACATTCTGGAAGCAGGTAAATGAGACTGCCCCTACAGGTGGGATTTCTCCAAAGAAACGGGAGGGCTGGCAGGCAGTGGAAGATGCCAGGCATCAGATGCAGTACATATCCTAAAGACCACTGTAAGGACAGCAGCTCACCAAGCCCTCTGAAAAATCACCACAGCGTTACTGAGCCAAAAAGGCCATGCTGGGACCAGCTGTACTGGTTCTGCAGTTCGTTCTCCTGGCGGATGTAAGCCACGCGGCCCCTCCCCTGTGGCTTCAGCCTCCAACTAACTCCAATTAGTCTTTCCAGTTTTTCTCACTTTGTGATTCTAACTGGCACCACTTAACTCACCACTTGAGCTGCAGCATCAAGGCACCTAACACAGACCTGAGAGAAATAATGAGAATCCCTCGGCACAAAGGCAGACACGCAGTGCAGCAAACACAGTGGCAAAGATGGAAGAATGAAGTCCAGGAAAGCTACAGCTTTCGTGCTCACGCAGTTGATGGCAGAAGCTCACTTGCTGGCACCTCACAGGGAATTCAGGCATGAACCACGGAAATGAAAAACCTGCAGAAAATGACAACTTGCATCCAGCTATGCTTACAGAACAGAAGTGCTCTCATTTGACCAAGAAATTAGGCGTTCCGTAGCAACTACAATAATTTCCTTCCACTGCTGAAATGGCTAGCATCTCCATTTGTAAGTACAGCATGCCAATACTAACAATAGTCTGACTTGATGTGCATCTCTGCATTTGCAGAAGCTCAGACCATCAGCAGCACAGGCATTCTTGTCCCTGCAAGAGGTGAAAGCATTATTCTAAAATATCCCTTTCACACGTAACTGGATGAAATAATTGAAAGAAGAACTGATCACACAAGACTCCTCATTAAACCATTTTTCACCAACCCATCTGTTACCAGCCAGCTTGGCCAATTCAGCATAAGAAACTGCCTCATTCCTTTTAGCACAAATTTTGAGATGTAGGAAGATTTAACAGAACACAACTGAAAACCAATGTTCCTTGCAGAAAAGTTCCTGCTTGCTTAGCAAACCTATTAGCTGCACAGGCCGGTCAGTAGCTCGTTCGCTCCATCTTTTGGTAGAAAAAGGGACTGCAACGCTCTCGGGTCCCACGGAGAAGTGGAAGCCGCATCTCTGTGCTCCAATTACTTGAGGTTCACCCATCAGAGAGCAGTTTCCACGCCTAAGCACAACAGCTTTTCAGGTTGGAGTCCGCGCCTCATTTTAAGAGCTCAGCAATGAGACAAAACAAGAAAAGATGACGGCACAGAGAAAACACAAAAAGGAACGGGATAAAACAGCATCTGCAGATGAGGCAAACGGCCAGGGGAAAAGTCGCATTTCAGCCCTGGAACCTCAAGGTCAAGACTCCGAATCCTGCACTCAGTTCTCATTCTCCAGCCCTTGCCTTAAGTGGACTAAAGAGAATTCCTCCAGTTCTGCCACAGCCTCCAACACTCCGTCTGCCAGTTTGAGCCACGGAAGTGTTTTCAGCCCTCTAACATCGCTGCCTTCCACTCATGAACCCTAACAGCTCAGAACGTGTCTTTCCCTAGGTCTGGGAACGCGTTCAGCTATTTTCATCAAGTTGCACAGCACTCTGCCTTAAAACAAGGAAAACACCCCAAGGCAGCAGTGTGCTTTTTCCTCCTTTACTTCTGCAGCTTGGCATCCCTTCTTGCCTTCCTACCCACCTCTACGAAACAGCTGCAGAAAAACTGTATTTCTCAATGCCAGAGGAACGAGAAAATAAACTCTCTACAGAGCACAGCATCACCCACTTAGACAAGCACCTGCAGCTGTCCAAACCACACTGTGTGCAGGCAGCAGGGTTTCATGCACAAGAAGATGTGCACAACAGGGTGAGCAAGAGCATCCACTCCTGAAAGGAGCAGCGGGATGGCAAGAGCACAGCTGGATGAGCACAAAGCCCAGTGAGCAAACGCTGGCTGATAAGTTACTTCTTCATGGCTTCCTAACCACTCTCTTTCCTGCCTTATTCCCTCTGTGTTCATTTTCAGAAAAGGTGACTTGCCTTTCTGACACTACAGAACAACATCCTGATAGCTGCTTCACAGCAGTGTCAGCAACTCCTCCATTTTCACACCAGCACA